CCAACAGTTTCACTTTTACTGCTTTAAAGGTAATCCCCACATCACACAGCTCCCTTAGATGATTTCCATACAGCACCATTTTCATTTATATAGCAATGTTTCTAATTTTCACCTTGTAACTCAACTTTTATCAGTTCATGTTTAGATGAACTGCAAAACAACTTTCCACTTTTAGTGAAACTGAAATCGTGTAGCAGTTCCTTCAGATAATGCTTGTGACTCTTGATTATGAATATTTTTCTTCTCCTTAAATCCGGAAGTGATCTAGAATTTTATATCATCAGTCCATAAAAATCTTCCCAGGATTCATGATGCCCTTGGGATCAAGGGCTGCCTTCAATTCCTTCATCACTTGAACCCCAACTGCCCCTATCTCCTTCTCTAAAAAGTGGCGTTTGCCCAAGCCAATCCCATGTTCACCTGTGCAGGTGCCATGCATCTCCAGGGCACGCCTGAAATGAATATGGAAACAAATAATCCAACAAAAATATCATTAGTTGTGTTATGTACTTATTGCTTATCATGTGAGACGCTGATATACTGGAGTGTCAATAACTGAATTCAGCAGCTTGAAGAAACTATTATAAGTGCGACTTTTGGAAGAAATTCATCATCAGGACAGGCTGATTTCTTGCAGGACTGGTAACTTTCATGAGTAATTAGCCCTGACTGACTTTCAGTCAGGTTTTGATTAATGACTTTCAGGGAAGTTTCCAATCCTGTGAAATGAAGCTTGAAAAACTTTAAGAAGTTCTGCAATGCAAAAGGCACATGAAACCATATTTCAAACACAACTTTCTAGGCTGAATTACATAAGTCTTTTTTGTTTACAACAAAACCGTTTTATTATATTCTGGAGAAACTGTGACTTAGAAGCTCAGTCTTGCACTGAACACATAAAAACATAATGATCATAAACCAGATTTCACCAAATTTGATACTTCTGCCTGTTTTTTGGTCTCATACATGTACGTGACAAAGTTGATGACACCTACCATGCTATGTTTTAGATGAACTGTAACTTACATAGCCATCCTGTCTGTGAGACCTTTGACCTCTTCCACCTCTTTGGGGTTATCTGGGTCAAACACCAGCACAGTGTGAAAGTTACCATCTCCAACATGGCCAACTATGGGACCTTGAAAAAGTGTGTTAACAAAATGTAAAGATCTCCAACATGGTCAATCATAGGACCTAAAATTAAGATAATTCATCATGTTGTCGGGCCTTGTTATCAATGTATACTTTGTCAGATACGGTTAATTAAAGGATCTAAAAAAGAAAATTTTACCATGCTACTATCTCCAATATAACATACTATTGCTCAAAAAAAAAAAAAAAAAAAAAAAAAACTGCTTACTTTCTTTCACAACTAAAGATAACTGCGATTATTTATAATTTAAATACATTCAATGTAAATATTTCCTCTATAACATGTTAAAGCACATTAAAAAGCATGTGCATGGACAAAAACTATACTTAAAACATTTAGGAGCTTTTTGGTATAAATTCAGCAAAATTAAAATTTAACTGGCTAGGATGCAAACTCAACATCATGTTACTGTACACAGGTAAACAGTTTGAGAGCTTCAAAAGTCAAGCAAATGGAACAAAAATTAAAAACTGCCATATCTTTCGATACAACATCACAGAGCATGCAAAGCATTTTCTTCCTTTCTAATAGTATCTATTCAAGCAAGCATGCTGGTTTAGAGAGAAGGCCAAATACACCTACATAACAAAATGCTAAAGCCAAAATGCTGTTTTAAAGAAAAAAAGCAGTGGCTGTTACCAAGAACCATAATCAAAACACAGCAAAATTTTGAATGCTAGAAAAAAACAAACAATTTTGGCCTGTTCTCTTACCAACAACTGAGGAGCCTTGTATGTCTTCCTTGGTGATTGTAATTAATTCTGGTAACCTTGATATTGGAACACAGACATCCGTGATGCTAGCCTTAAACAGAAGCACCAAGAAAACCACATAATCACATTTCCAATTACTGCAATTCAACCCTCAAGCATTAGGGGCAACAGAGGGAGAAAGCGGATTCATTTTTTAAAGCTATTTTAGCATTTGTCAAATTGCAAATAACTTAGATTGATAGCATGTCATCTGAAAGCTGTATCTTCTCCCTGGGTTTGTACAACTACTGGTGTCATTACCAGGAATAAAGGACCTGTCCAAGTCCTCCTTGGTTTCCGTGAGGACCTGCGGCAGCAGAGAGATGGGGACACAGACATCTGTCATTTTACCCTGGAGGCACAGGAAGTAGGAAGATTGAAATGTTGCTGGGACCAATTTTACATTAAGACTTTAGCCTGAAATTTTTTTGTCTGTTTCTGTTCAAGATAAATTTATAGTAGTCCTTTTAATAGATGCCATGTTGTGTTAAAGTAAACTAAACTTTAAAACTGAAAGGTTTGACCAATTTTCAGGCTAAAATTTTTGCTTAACGGGCCCCTGCCTGAGTGACTGAAGTCAGATAGACTGTCTAGAACCTTATAATCTCTGGCCAAAAGCAAAATGTCAGAAAAGTTAGTCATTCTAATAATATTTTCTCATTTTTTTGTAGTTTATGGTTACTGTTTCTGCTTGAGGACAGTAAATTCTTAGACCTTGGGTGTCCCAAAGCTTTTTTTTTTCTACACTTTTCAAGTATACTTTGAAAAGGGTTGTCTCAACATAACACATAATGCATAATATATAAGAAAAAGACTTACACTTTTTTCTTTATTTGTACTCTTGCTTGATGGTTTGTAAGATACATCTAGGAAATGATGAATTTCAATTGGTGAGGAAACCAACCTCAGCTCATTTTAAATAAAGAAGTTTATTTACTTTTCACAGAGATCTATATAATGGAACAGTACTCGAATATTTTACCTTACATCCTGGCCTCAGTGCAATGCAGGCATAGTAAGCATCATGTCTGGCCTTCCACAGTTTATTTCTCACCTCTGGCTCTTTGGCCCACTGAAACCCTGAACCTTCATTATACTCTGCTATCTCAGCTGAAATGAAAGTTCATTTTGTTTCAGTAGTACCATCCCCTTTCGCTCATCAACATATAGTCTACCCATTTTTGAAAATGTTACTCATTTATCTACTTATTTTTTATTGACAACAAATTCTATTTGATTTCAGCTATTATTCTCTAGAATTATAAATAGCCATCTCAGCTTCACTGGTATAATGGTTTAACCCTAACATAACCCTTCATACAGAACATCCATCTCACCATACGCCTTCCCCAATTTTATAAATAATGGATTTCCTATAATCCAGGTGTTATAAACCAGCTCATTTTCATTGGTATACTAGTCTGCCACATCAAATCTAACCATACACCTAATGCCAGTAAAACTGAACCTGGGCCATTTAAATTTACTAAATTTGATCAGTTACAAGCCACCATTTCTGCTTTGAACGGTAGATTACAAGTCCCTGATGTCTCATAGGGGCAGGAGGTTAAAACCCATTTTCAGCACAGGCTGGTGTAATATTTTCACCCAATATCTCACCCACATCCTTGGCCTGTTCCTCCACCCCAGACTCTGAGCCATGGAACTCCAGGAATAGAGTGGGGGACTCCTGGTAGTCAAGATGACTGAACTTGTTACATGCCATCATCTGAACCTCGTCTAGAAACTCTGGAAGTTCAGGCACAAATGTTATTAAAATATAATGGTGATACCTTGGAAATGCTGTAAGTGTTTAATGGTCAAACTGGTTACATGTACCATTTAAGGTATGAGTGACAACAAATAACTGTTCAGAGATGGAAGGAATCTCTCCTGGACAAGTATGTATACCAATAGCTATGTTTATGCAGTTCACTGGGATTATGTTTGGAGCAAACAGGCGCATTTTCTAAACAATTTCAACAAATGAGGCCAAACAAAGGACAAAAATGGTCAACTTAGACCCTTCCCCCTTTTTTCAATAAGTTTCATCTTTAACTATTTAAATAAATATCACTCAATTTTAGCATACAAATGTCACATGTATAATTCTTAACATTATTATTGTATACCGACAGCGAATACTAATAAATGTGTCTTTCATGACCTATATATTCTGCCAGCTTACCAATTCTAGCCATGGGTATTCCACACTGTAGTGTCTGAACTGTTGTATCAACTGCTGCCTTTACTGAGGGAAAGTGACAGACTGCTGATATAGTCTGGAAGGAGCACATATGATTCATATTATATTTCATGATCAGTATAAAATTATGACAGTAGATATTCGGATGTGTTCTAAAAGTGATTTAAGCTTAAATCTTGTTCCATTTGTAAAAAAAGTTACTACAATATATGTTTCGTTTGGATCTATTCTTTTTCGCTCTTATTACAACTTGTGCAACTGAAATCTTGCAAACATGCCATATTCAGGTTATTTAATGAAAGTTAATCACTAAACTTGCTCTATCTAGATATAAAAAAACATCCCTTTTGGCTTTCAATGTACAATCCAGTCCAACTTTTTAAACAATATTAAAACATTTTCTCAAGATCTGCTGGCATACAAGTACTCACACTCTCTGGTTGTCCATAAAGTTTTATTGTGGCCTTGGTGATGATGCCAAGAGTTCCCTCAGAGCCAACAAATAGGTTGGTCATATTGTATCCAGCTGCAGTTTTTCTAAATATAAAAAATAATTAGAAAAAAAATAAATTGTTTGAATATATAATTAATAACTATAATAAACAAATAAATAAAAATCATAGAAAATTCTGAACTACACTTTACCAGTTAGTAAAATGTTAAAAGCATTTAAGTGCTATCTCCAAACATGAAAATGTTCCACTAAAGTTACAGGTTTACATAACTTTGATATACATTTTAAGACAGCAAAAGAATGTCTCACAGTATTCACACACACACACACACACACACACACACA